CCCTAACCCTAATATAGGGGTAAAGTTCCATTGAAAAGAGGGTGATTTTGAAAAAGCCTTCCTCGAGTAGGTTTTTCTGCCCAGCTCATCCTTTCTGCCCATTCTAAACACATTCCAGCCATCAGAATCATGCCAGGACACCCCATTTTCCTAACCCTAACCCTACCCTGGTGCACACCCCTAACCCTAACACAGGGGTAAAGTTCCACTGAAAAGAGGTCATTTTGAAAAATCCTTCCTTGAGTAGCTTTTTCTGCCCAGCTCATCCTTTCTGCCCCTTCTAAACACATTCCAACCATCAGAACCATGCCAGGACACCTCGTTTTCCTAACCCTAACCCTACCCTGGTGCACAACCCTAACCCTAATATAGGGGTAAAGTTCCATTGAAAAGAGGGCAATTTTGAAAAGGCCTTCCTTGAGTAGGTTTTTCTGCGCAGCTCAACTTTTCTGCCCATTCTAAAAACATCCCAACCGTCAGAATCATGCCAGGACACCTAGTTTTCCTAACCCTAACCCTACCCTGGTGCACACCCCTAACCCTAACGCAGGGCTAAAGTTCCATTAAAAGGGGGCGATTTAAGAAGGAGATGGCAGAGGATGAGGAGGCTGGATGGAGCCACTGGGTCAGGTGGTGTGAGCTTAGGTGGACTCCAGGGGATGGTGGAGGACAGGAAGGCCTGGAGGACTGTTGTCCATGGGGTCGCGATGGGTCGGACCCAACCTCGCGACTAACATAACATCACACATGGTGCATTTGCGATTCCGCACTCATGGCATGGGAGCTTCCCGGCCTTCCCATGTCTTTTTTGTCAGACCAAGAAAAGTCCAACATTATCTGGAAACGGCTGAATGAACCCGAACGAGAAGCAGTTCTGCTGTGCTGCGGCATCAGCATGTGAGTTAGTCAAGGAGTGGATCTGAATCCCACAAAGAGGCAGTTTGGAAGCCTTGTGCAGGGACCCTCTGCAGCGAAGGAAAGCTTAAAAAGGCAAATTGATGAGGAGCGGGGAGGGAGGGAGGAAATGTCCAAGGAGGAAAGCTGGCCTCTCTCCAAGCAGGAAGGAGGAGGGCGTAAGGCGGAGGCCGGGGCTTTCCCTCGTCCTCTCTGAACGGGGCACCCTCGCTGGTCTGCTTCCTATTGCAGAGAGACCTGCAGGGTGAGGGGGGAAATGATGCCGAAACCTACTGACTTGCCGCTGTGTCAGTTTCAAGGTCCAAAGCAGGAGGAAATGCACAGCGAGAGTTCCCTGACGTCAGAATCCCTTTCAGTAAGTGATGTGGAAGGAGCCCTGCCCAGCTGGGCCCTGACAAGCCAGAAGGGCAGCAAGCGTGAGACGCCGTGTGCAGGCCCTCGGAGAGCGGGGCACATGGGCCCTTGCAAATGGAGTCTGAAAAGTTACTAGCCAGACAACATTATGAGCCAAGTCATGTCTAGAGAGGCCACTCGCTCAGAGATGCTCTTCCTAAGCCACCTGCCTGTGGACACCATCCAGGCTACCAGCGCGGAGTGCCACTCCCTGCCTTAGCCTAGCCAACAGCCGGTTACAAGCCTGGGCAGGGACGAACAGTAGCCCCAGGAAATCCGGCCCTGGCTTCAGTGCCACTAGGGCATTTGACCTAATCCTTTGTGGCATTGGGAGCAAATGTATCAGTCTGTGATTAGCCCAGGAGCACTCGTCCAACGTGGCACTGAGCGGAAGCAGAAATGCTTTGCTCAGGGAATGTGCTCTCGTTTTAGCGGATCACTCATTCCGCAGAGCAGAAACAAAACCTGGTGCATGCCACAATTCATTAATTGGTTTATTGGCCCCAAGTTAATGAGCCAGGGAGAGTCGCATGCAAAATCTCTCACTTTCTTGTTTTGAGGCGAGAATGAGACTTATGATTTCTCCAACGGTGCGGGACGATAAAGATGCATTGCATGGGGTTCAAAAGCTACTCTCCCTAACAATGCAAGCGTATGTGGGTGCAACTCACTCTCTCTCTCTCTCTCTCTCTCTCTCTCTCTCTCTCTCTCTCTCACACACACACACACACACACACACACACACACACAGCGCAGCATGGCCTAGGAGAGACCTAAACACGCCCATCCACTTCCAAGTGAAGCAAGGAAAGCCTTCAGAGCAAGTCTCTCTTTGAGAAGGCGGCATCTAAACATTCTCCTTGGCTGAGCAGTTTGATGAGTTCCAGAGAAACTGGGTTGTGATGAGGAGGGGAAGGGGAAGGGCAGTCCTGCAGGGGCCCCTGTGCCGAAGACCGCGCTGAACCAGGAAGACCGGAGTTCAACAGAACGAGGGGATTTCATGGGTAACTACGAGGAAGAGAAATCTCCCTCCAGACATTTAATTCCCGCAGAGATTTAATCCTTCCTCTGTTGTTCTGTCTGGTTAGTAATGTTACTGTTGGCCTGTTTAAGAGGTTACGGGCGTGGTGCCGTGAAAAAATTAAGGGGATGGTTAGAGGGTGTCCCTTTTTGTTTGCTTTTGTCTAAAGGTTTCCTATGCATGTTCAGACCCTCTTCCCACCCCAGAAGCCGTGCAGCCCCACGCATTTCCCAGGCAGACACGCCAACTGGGCAACGACAGGAGTTGTTGTCGCCTGCCTGCCTGCCTGCCTGGCCACCCTTCCTTCTTTCTTCCTAACCATGCACAAGAGCGTGCCCTTGAGGAGCCCCCCAGTGGCCATGGGGGTCCCCAGCGCCTGCCCCAGAAACCTGCTCCAAGCTTGGAGGCGGGACTCGGCCTTCACCTCTGCCCGTCTCCTGCTCTCTGTACACTGCCCACAGTTTTCTGAATTCAGCGACTGACAGGCAGCCTCACTGGATGACACCGCCCTTACTTTAGATATTCAGATATTTTTATATTCTCATTTTTGTACGGGTGACTGTATGGTTCTTCTCAGGATTTATGCTTGCAAGCCAACCTGAAAGCTTTTGCCACTTGGGTAGCCTGCAGATTTGATAAATAAGCCAGTCTGCACCCTCATCTAAGCTAGAAGACTCCACAGACCACTGAATGGATGCAGAGTGAAGCAGCAGCTTGTGCAGCCAAAAGGGGGCAGGAATCTGTTGACTCACACGCTACTGACACATCTCTCCTTCTCGTGTTAAAATACGCGGATGCTTGACGCAAATGAGGGACCACAGAACATGCTGCAGGATGGCCGACCCCGGCCCAGGTTGCCAGCCAGCCAGCCAGCCAGAGCGGAGATGCCAAGATACTCCGTTCCATTTCCCAGTTGGACCTCAGTGCATTCCTGGCCTGCATGGAGTCCCTTCCTGGAGGCGGCCTTGCTTCTCCTCCTCCTCTGCAGGTTGAAAATGATGAGGAAGAGAGATGAGGGGCTCATCGCCCTCCTCTGTATGAAGCGACTCTTCCGTGAAACGAACCAGCCTTTGCTCTTGAGAACACTTCTTTACAAAAGACTCTCAAAGGGTGTAGATAGGGGAAAGCACAAGACAGGATATTTGTGCTGGATAAATACGCCTCGGAATAACCACTAGGCATGAGTCATTCAGAGGCGTGTGCGCATTTACCAATGTTGAAACAAACACACATGCACACACAAATGTACAAATTCGGAACATTCCTTCTCAGTTAATATGTCCGATTGCGAATTCAGTTTAATGGGGTTGTCAGTCACGGAAATCCCTCGCCACGGAGGCTTCCGGGATTGTGGGGCTGCAATGCTGGTCTTCCGGGCATGATGAAATCTGGATTTTCCACCCAAACCCTCTTGGCGGGAACTGACAGATAATGCTAGTTCCCGGCAAGTGCTCCACTTCTTGCTGTTCGGCCCCATCGCTGCGGCGCCAGACGCGCTCGAGGGCAACCCTAAACACACCTGCCAGTCCCGTTAGACGCCCTGGGACTGCTCTCTAGGGTTAGACGCGTGCGGTGAAGCCAGCAGCCCCCAGGGCTGTTTCCTGCACAAGACCCAGATCCGTCTTGAGAAGTCTCTGCATTCCGCCCTCAGGGGCTTCTGGCTCGCAAAAGCAGCACCAGACTAGCTCCTTGCCCAATGGGAAGGCTGCAATGAGGACCCCTGGGGCAGCCAGATGTGGGGTGGGAGGGCTGCCCCCTGTGCTCAGGCTCTGTCGGGAAAGCTGCAAGGTGCTGCTCATGCTGCCCCCTCAAAAAAAGCAAAACAAAACAAACCCTTTATCCAAAAGGCCCAGGAAACCTTATGGCTTCACTGCCCTCATCTGCCCCAGAACTGGGGAGCAGTGCTGAGTCCGAGCGCCAAATGCTCCTGCAGGGAAGCGTTTTGGGGAGAGCAGCAGGGAGCTGGACCAAGTGGCTTTCCAGGTGAATCCAGCGCTGCCTGCCTGGGACGCCTGCAGAGGAAGGGACCAAGGGCCACAGTCGGTGGGGCCAGTGGCGAAAGGGGAGGGGGCATTCAGCCCCCCTCCAGGCACCCTACCTGGATTAGCAGTGGCTCTGCAGGCCCTTCCCCGCTCTGCCAGGAGTGCCACGGGCACCGCTGACCCTGTCCGGGAGGCCGTCACCCCAGCAGGATGTGCTGCCCGGTTCTCGCCCCCTTGGCGGGGGGGGGGGGCGCATGCAGTGCCAGGTGGCTGCCCTTTGCTGCAGCCAAGGACTGGCGTGGAAATCCTACTTTTGCAGTGGGCTATTTCTCCAGCATTGCTCTTTGGGGGGAAAAGACCTCTGCCCCGTTAACTCTTGTGCAGAGAAAGCAGATCCCCCCTCAAACAAAATTCTGCACAGGCCAAGTCAGCATAAACATATAAATAAATACTTGAAGACAGAGAGAGCGAGAGCGAGAGCGAGAGCGAGCGAGCGCCAGCCAGCCAGCCAGCCAGCCAGCCAGCCAGCCAGCCAGAGGGGGCTCCTGCAGCGAGATGTGCGACAGGGATCAGCCGGGGAGGCGCTTCTCCAGCTGCCCCGTCCTTTGGCAGACTCCCCACAGCCGGTGTGGGAACTGTGGCAGCGCAAAGCATGCGCCTCTGCCGCTGGCAGCTGACACAGGAATTTCCTTCAGGTGTGGAACAGCCGGTCCTACTAGCTCAGCGACATTGCCCTCCTCGACCTATTGCTCTCCCGGTGTTTTGGACTGCAGCTCCCATCAGCCCCAGCCAGCATGGAAGAGGCTGATGGGGGCAACTGTCCAGACTTTCTAAAGGGGTTCAGGTTAAATCCACCGCTCCAAAGGCGACCCGTGGCTGCTCTGCCCCCGCCCCCCGCCCTGCCCCGCGGTGCTCTTTGGCAGGTTTTGTGCGGGGAGAAAAAGGACAGACGAGTCAGGAAAAGCCTGGGGGGTTCCTAGTGGAAGACCCAGTCTAGACCGCCCCCCAAATGCCGCGAAGAAGGCGGGGTGGCTGCACAACCCTCAGTGGAGCGATGTCCCGGGAGGGAACCGGGCCGGTGCTGCGCTGGCCGCGGGCGCCCGTGCGCGAGCTCGGGGGATCCGCGCAGAGGTTGCGCGGAAGGCAGAAGGGGCCCCGGCGCCCCGGAGGGCCAGGCCGGCGCCCCTCCAGCACCCCGCGCGATCCGGATGCGCAGCAATGCGCAAGGCGGCGAAGCGCCGCTCGCGTTGGGCGCGCAGAAGGGAGCGGGGCGGCGCCTCGCCTGCCGCTGCTGCGGAGAGGCCGGGGCCGGGGCCGAGCCCGGCGGCTCCGCGCTCGCCCCCCGCGGCCTGCCTGGCCTCCCCCGCGCCCAGCCTGGCCCTCCTTCCCCGGGCGAAGCGCGACGGACGCCCCCGCCCCCGCCGGCGGCTCCCCTCGCGAGCGGCCTCACCTGTCCGCACCTGCCGCTCACCTGCGCACCTGGCGCTGCGTCCGAGAGCCGCGGCGGCGTGTGGCCGGAATGCCGCCCGCCCCGTCGCGGCCGGCCAGGTGGAAGGGCCCGGGCGGGGGCGGGGGCGGGGCCGCGGCGCCCTCATTTGCATGGCACCTGCCCGCGACCCTCCGCGGGCATATAAGGCCTGCGCCCTCGCCGATGCGCCCAGCTCGGGCTGGACAGCGCTGCGGATCCCGCAGGTGAGTCTCCGCCCGGCGCCGGCTGCGCTTCAGTTCCCCCAGACGAGCCCCGTGATCTCGCCTGGTCCCGTCAAGCGCCCGGAGACAGACCCAGAGCGGCGTGCCTCAGAGCGTGCGAAGAGTGCCCCTTCCCCTTGGGGCGTTAGCGGGGAGATTTAGGGGCGAGGAGGGGCGCTCTGCCTTTGGGAGCCACGGCTGCCCCTCGCCGAAGGCCCCTTCCGGAGGGGGGGCGAGGCTCCGTCCAGGCAGGCGGCCAGCCAGGCACCTGCGCCCGCTTCCACTCGGGTGCGTCAGTCTGAATCAGAGCCGTGCGCGGCGGGAGGCGATCCTCTGATGGAGGAAGCGAGAGACGCGCGCTTCCCGATCCCCTTTCCCCCGGGCCCCCCGGGGGAAAACGGGGGGGGGGGGATCACCTGGCACCACCTGGCACCACCCTCAGCCTGGAAGTCTGAAAGCCCCTCGTCCCCCGTCCCCCCTTGTGGGAGATGCTCGGCGAGCCCAGGCGGAAAGATCCGTTTTCCTGCATCGCAGACCTCAGGGCTCCACCAGAAAAGTTTCGGGGCTCTGTCTGGGGGTGTTCGGCAAGCGGCGCTCCCGGGGCTCGGATGTGGGAGCCGCGCTGGGGGGGCCGCGGGCGCTGGAGCTCCGGGCGCCTCCTCGCGTGCCTCCCAGCCGTCCCAGGCTGGTCTGCCTTCCCGGGTGGGTGCAGGGCTGCAGCTCCCGTCCACCCCCAGGCTGGGGCAAGACTAAGTGGGAGGGAGGTCTCCCCCCCATGCCCACCTCCCCGGGGGGGGGGCTCCGCAGGTGGGGGGCGCTGCTTCCCTCCTGGAGCATCTGCCGCAGCCGCCGCCGGCCTCGTCTCCCTCCCTCCCTCCCTCCAGAGACCCCGCCGCAGGATGACCTTCTCCGACGGCAGCTTCCCGTTCTACCCGCAGCCGCGCAAGCCGGCCGGCTTCGATGTCAGCCTCGTCATCGTCATCGTCGTCTTCCTCGTCCTGGCGGCGAGCTTCCTCCTCATCCTGCCCGGCATCCGCGGAAGAGCTGTGAGTAGCCGCCGCGACTCCTGCCCAGGGCAGACCCTGCCGCGAAGCCGCCGTGGGTGCGCGACAGCAGCGGGGCGGAGACCCTCCGCCGCTGCGAGGCCTTGCGCGCCCCGCCGGCAAGCGCGTGACGAAGCCCCCCGTCCCCCTTGTGTCCACAGCGGCTGTACTGGCTGTTCCGGGTCACCGCGAGCCTTTTCGTCGGAGCCGTCATCGTGGGTAAGTCCCCCAGCCAGCCCCCCCTCCGACAAGGCCCGTTTGCACGGGCGGAGGGCCCCCCCCCCCGGGCCCCCAGTCGCTGGGCTGGCTCTGCCAGGCGCCTTCCCCAGCCGCTTGCGGGCAGCGCGGCGTCCCGGAGGGCGAATTCCCACCTGCCAGTCTTGCGATTGCAGCGAGTGGGTGCGCGTCCCAGCGGCCAGGGGCAGCTCCAGGGCAGAGAACCTCTGGGGCGCGCCAGTCAGTTCCCTGGAGAGTTCCTAGAACGCTCAAAAGAACGGCTGCAATGGATGAGGGGCCCCACTGACAGTCCCTCCTGTCAACCCCGGGAGGGGCAAACTGACCCTGGATTAGGGCTGCCACGGTGGAGACCTGGCAAACCGCTCCTGCCGACACTCACGGACCACCCCCCCCCCCCGTCTCCCGCAGCGGTTCACTTCACCTCCGACTGGGAGAGCGGGCGAGTGACGGCCAGCACCCCCTACAAGTCCTTCAGCGCCGCCGTGGTGCGTGCGGACGTCGGCCTGCACGTCGGCCTGGCCGGCATCAACGTCACGCTGCTCGGTGAGTCCTCCGTGCCAAAGGGGGGTGCGTGGGGGGTGCTTCACGCGACAGCAGGACGTCCTGCCGAGCCATGAATGGGCAACGTGTCTCTCGCCAGGGCACCCGGGAGCGGCCTCCCAGGTCACTCCTGGCTGTCTCCCCCCCCCCCCGCACACCCGTCAGCCCACTTGAGGGGACTGGGGCCCACTGCAGGTCCCCTGAAGGGCCCGCCTGTGTTCTCCCCACCCCGCTTCAGGTCAAGTGGCGACTCCGGGTGTCAGCAGGATCCTGCGTGTCCACACACGGCTCCCCTGGATCCTTGCCCCTTTGGTTGCTATTTTATTTGTAAGACTTTCAAAATGACAGCAAGTTTTAACGGGGAGACTGACTTTCTGCAGGGTTAGGGGTGCCCTCCGGTGTCCCCTTCAGTCTGGTTCAGAAGCGTGGTTGATCTGAACGTAAAAGAGTTGTTTTGTCTTTTAAAGGTCAGGACACGCCCCCCGCCCCCCAGATCCAGGTTACCCAACGTGGTGCCAGCAGATACAACTCCCAGAATCCTTGTTTCTTCTGGTTTCAATGTCATTTATTAAAATGTATTTCTTTATGCTTAGCTGGGAGACTGGAATGCACCAGTCTCGGGTGATCTTTAACTGGGTGGGTCCAAAGAGTGGTTTTTTGATTTGGAGTTCTGACCCCACCCTTGCCGTGCACTGAAAGGCTTCCCTTTATGTCTCCACAAGTCCCCCCCCCCCGCCGGGAGAGTTTGGTCTTGCTCCTCTGGGGGAGCCCTTTTATGAAACACTTTGAGAGAATGCCCCCCCCCCATGACTCTCTCAGAGCTCCAGATGTGCCCACCAAGCCGAAAGGGTTTGGACCTCAGCAGTGGATGCTTTGTCCCATGGCTCCCACCAGGCGGGGCAGGTGGCAGTGGCGGCCGCAGCATCTGGGGGGCCATGAGGTGGCTGCTTGGGTGCCGCGCATGAGCCAGAACACGCTTCTTTCCCCTTCCCTCTCTGGGGCTGGGAAGCTTTCGTGTCACCTGTCACTGTGGTTTGTCATTTCTTCCTTTCTAGCAAACCATGTTTAATGTTAACTATGGCTTGCTTGAAACAAACCAGCTTGAAAACCTAATAGCGTCACGGCAGAAGTGTAGATAAGGGTCCTTGTTTTACATTTGCTTTGGGTACCTCTCCATTTCTTTCCTTTTCCTAAATCGCACTCTACCTTGGATCCCCAGGAAAACCCATGGTTCAGCTCAATGAAACCATTAACTACAATGAGCAATTTTCCTGGTGGTCTGGGGCTGACTATGAACATGAGTTTGAGGAAGGCTTGGAGCGGGGCCTTCCCAACCCCATCCTCTACGTGGCGGAGAAGTTCACCGAGCACAGTCCCTGCGGCTTAAGCGTCCTCTACAGAATGGCGGGCCACTACGCCTCTGCTACCTTGTGGTGAGTGGGCCCTGTGGGCTTGCGGGTGGGACCCTCCAGTGGAGACAGGGAAGCCCGAGATCCTTGAGACAACATCTGGGGCCTGTGAGAGACTCAGCTCACATGGGGAGTGTAGGACCACAGAACTGGAAGGGGTCTTGGAGGGCAGCTTGCTCGATGCAGTGCAGGAATCTCACAACAGCATCCCCGGCAGATGGCTGCTCAGTCTGTGTTTTGAATGCCTCTACTGAAGGCAAGCCCACCGTCTCCCAAGGTGGTCTGCTGCATGGTCAGACAACCCTCCCCTTTAGGAACGGTCTCAACTGATGCCAAACAGGAGTGGAAAAGAGCTGAGGGTGGCCTTCCCCATCCTGGTGCCCTCCAGATGTTTTGGAGTACAACTCCCAGCATTCTTGGTCATTGCTGAAGAACCCCAGAAGAGTCCCGCTGGATCAAGCCAAGGGTTCGCCTAGTCCTGGGCAGCAGGGGGTGGTCTTTCCCATCACTTGCCCCTGGCCTTTTCAGCAAGGGATGGCAGGGACGGAAGTGGGGACCTTCGGAAGGGGCAGCGTGGGCTCCACCCCGAGCCAGGCGGTAGCGGTGCCCTGTCTCCCTGCAGGGTCGCCTTCTGTGCGTGGCTCATCGCCAACGTGCTCTTCTCCATGCCGGTCCCGGTTTACGGAGGCTACATGATCATCGTCACAGGGGCCTTCATGATCTTCGGCCTGCTGTCCTTCGCCACCGGGAGGAACGTTCCCATGTGTGCCATCCAGTTTGGCCCCACCTCCCTTCAGCTGGCCTACGGCCCCTCCTTCTGGCTTACCCTTGCCACAGGTGAGGATTTCGGTGCGTGCCCACCTGGCTTTTTAGGAGCGGTGGAGGAGAAGGCAGCCTCTTCGCAGAAGCCCTCTCTGATTCCCAGTGTGGGGTCGTGGTGAAGAGCACGGGACTGGGACTCAGGCGACCTGGGTTCGAGTCCCCACTCGGCCATGGAGCCCACTGGGTGAACTGGGCCAGTCACAGATGCTCAGCCCAGCCTACCTCACAGGGTTGTTGTTGTGGGGATAAGATGGAGGAGGAGAAGGATGTCAGCTGCCTTGAGCCCTTTGTAGGAAAAAGGCAGGATATAAATTGATAAATAAATAAAATTCTGGTGAGACGGGGTGCTGACCGCAGGCCTGTGGGCCAAAGATGGCTTGCCGTGCCTCCCAGTCAGGCCACCAGGGATCCCTGGGCGGCCCCGTCCCTTTTCCTGGCCCGGCCCCTTTGTCCAACCCATGACAGGTGCCTTGCAAACATTCTGGAAGCTTATCATGCTTCTAAAATTTAGTGAAAAATGATAAGGGGTTTAACCACTCAGAGATCCTTCTGGATATGATTGGCACAGCAGTATATCAATTTATTCAACAACCCACCAGCCTTCAATATCCTGGTTTTTTTCCTCGTTTGCGCCACCACTTCCACCTTTGGCTCTGCCTTATTGGCCTGTACCTGAAAGGCACCTCCGTGAGCCCTTCTGAAGTGAATTCTGCCCCCCGGGTTGTGAAAGGGTCAGCACTGCTGCGGGACCTGGCGGGGGAACAGCGGAGTTTTCCAACATTTCTGAAAAGGCTTCCCAGGGGCATAGCTTGTTCTCCCTTTATCCACACAACAACCCTGTGGGGTAGGCCATTCTCTCCTGCAAGCCCTCTTCTTCCTCGGTGGGTACTAGAAGGCCCCACGATTGGGCGAGCCTGGCCACCCCCGGACTCCTGGCGATACTGGAGGAACCCCTCGGGCCAAGTGCCCCGGGACACGTGAGCCGCCTGGCGTTGAGGTCCGGCGGCACGGCTTTGGCCCGGCTGGCCAACGTGCGTCCCCTGCGTGGGGGACGAGCGGTGGGCTCGTCCGCGCGGGTTGCTCAGCGCCCGCCTCGCTCTTCCAGGGCTGCTCTGCTTCCTGATCGGGGCAGTGGTGATCGTGCTGCACCACGCCTGCCCGCACCTCCTGAAGGCCTTCTTCGACCTGTGCGAGGATGAAGAGGACGAGGACGCCCCGCTGGGGGAGGCGTACGTCAACCCCTATTTCCCGCACCTGCAGAGGGCTGCTGCCCAGCCCAGCTTCAAGCTGACCATCACGAACAGCTAGAGCACCGCCTGGCCCAGGACTCGAGGGGGCTGCTCTTTGGCACAGCCGCTGACCGATTTTCCCCGGGGAGCCGCGACGCTGCTCTTTGCACTGACCCTGGCAGGCCCCTGCGGATCGGGGCCTCTGCAGCTGCAGCTCAGCCTCCTCCTCGTTGCCTCGGGAGCAACCATCAAGCGCTTCTCCAAAGGCCCTGGCCACCCCGCCAAGAAGGGCTGGCGGAGGAAGGCGCAGCTGGTCCTGCCACTTTAACTGGGCCCGTCAGGCTGGCGGTACCATCCGGGGCACTCTGCTGGTAAGGGCTGCCCCGACTGTGAGCCTGTGTGAGAGAGCCAGGCGTTCTGCCGGCAAGTTCATCCCAGAAGAAGCCTGTGCTCGTCTGAGCCAAAACGCCGCGCTGAGCGGCAAGAGCCTTGTGGCTCCACCCGGCAGGAGTTGGGCAGCTGGCTGCCGTGAGGCCGCCGTTGTGCCGAGCGACGTCCGTCGTACTCCAGCCTTTGGGGACCCGCTCCGCATGGTGGGAATTCAAGTTCAAGGGTGCTCCGAGGGCCAGGAGACCACCCTCAGTGTCTGGAGGCCCCTGCTCTGGAGTCGTGGGTTGCACAGTCGCTCTTTTGAGAGCGTTTTTCTCTCTGCCTTCGCAAGGACAGCTGTCCTGTTCCACTCCCTCTTTGCACTTCGGGACCCGATCCACCAAGCGGAGTGTGGGAATGGGCCCTTAAACCTCCCGAAAGATGGATGGCTGGACGCAGCGGTGCCTGGGCGGCCCTCCCACATCTCGGTGAGGGGATGCTCTTCCTTTAGTGGGACACTTGTGGGACAATGCAGGAGCCACGGGGACGTGGCCTGGCAAATTACCTTTCAGAGCTGGGCGTGCTCTGGTCACAGGCTGCATCTCTGTGTCTGGTACCGGCCACCGTGGGCACAAGACTTGTGAATAAAATTCTAAGTGGTCTCCGCAGTGTCTGTCAGTGTGTCTGGGGTAGGCAGCCTGGCACAGGGCAGGACCCTGCGGTCTTTACCAGTGCGGAGGCATCAAGCAATGCTCCACTGGCTGATGGGAGGATCTTTGTCTAGGAGGGACCTTCCCAGTGCAAGCATGACCAATTTTTCAAGCTGGGTCAGCAGGACTTTGGGTACTGCACCCATCATGCCACGATCCTGGCTCAGGGCTGCAGAACCAGAGGTGAAATCCAGCCATTGTACCAGGGCAGATCTGGCCCCTGGGCTTCCCCGGGGGATTTTTCCCGGCTCCACTGACTCTTCCGTAACTGCTGGCCACTGGGGGCTCTTGCACTACTCCAAAAGGCTGACATGCTGAAAGATGGATGACTTACTGGCCCTGGAGCTTTCAGCGAAACTCTGCAGGCATGTGGGCCCCACCCCTCTCCTCCTTTGCATCTCCTTTGCATCTCCGTTGGGATGCAGCCTCCGGGGGCTTTCCCAGGCACAGAGTTCTGTGTTCTCCGTACTCACATCGCGTGCCGTGGCTGCGGTTGCACAAGCAGCCTGGAAGGAGAGAGCAGGCCAGCCTTGCTGACACTCACTTCTTCTGGAATGTTCCTCAGACTTTCTCGACCTCATTCATTCATTCATTCCATTTCTGTGCCACCCAGTGGCCAAAACTCTCTGGCCAGTTCATAATGATTCTCAGCACGGGGAGCGGGTCTAGAGCTGCAGCTGCGTTTCATGCCAAGTCAGCCCTGGCTAACGCTCCCCTCGAAACGGGGCTGAGATGGGCAGCATCCGGATGCTCGAAAGATCCGGGCTCTACAAGGAGAAGCATGACGGTCACATCGAAGCAGCCGGGATGCCCCAGGGGAACACCAGGGGTCCCACACGTGAAGCCTGTGGCGGCGATAAAAGGTTTCTCACAGCAGGCACACGGGCAGGAGCTGCCTTGCATTTGCACTCTTGAATCGTGGCTGGGGGCGGGGGGGGGGACTGGGCTGCCATCGGGGCTGCAGCACTCCAGCTTTCAGGGCTGGAGGGGTGCATGGCAGAGCTGCCCCAGACGAGAGGCGCTTAGGGCTGCCCGCAGTTGCCTTGCTTGGCCCTGCCCTGCCCCACCACACTCCCCTGGTCGGCCCACACTTCCCCACACCACAATTAGCTCTGCACCACAATTAGCTCTGACAACAGCTGCTATTAACGGCTTAGGATGGGCTGCACTTAAGGACCGTCATCACCGGACCTGCCACAGCCGGTCCCTTTGCGGTTCCTCGCCTCCCTTCTGCGCACTCTTCTCCCATCTCCTGTGAAAATGCCCCCCCTGAGCAGAAATGACACTCCGCAGGTGTGAAGGGCGACATTTATTCACAGTGCCTCCTGCACAGCAGCCGCAGTGCAGGGAACCAGCAGGGATTCTCTTTACAATCTACGTGGCTTTTCAGAGAGGGGTTCAAGACTAGGATTATGCTTGTACATTCGATATCTTATACCCCAGTTCTGGCATCCTGGATCTTTCCACTGGGAAGGGCCTCTGGGAGCTCCCCCACCCCCTGTCCCCAGAGGTCCACGGTGTCTTCCTCCGCGCGCTCGCTTTAAGCGTATTTTGCCAGCAGCTTCATTAAGGAAGGGATTTCCTGAAATGGAAAAGGTGCAGTGGTGACTTATGAAGCAGCAGACCTGTGCTGCACGTCCCCCTGGGGACCTGGGATGGGCTGTTCTGCCGAGCTGGTGCCCGTGAGCCCCCTTCTGCTCCGGGTATGGAGCCTTCCAGAGCTTCTCAGCTCTCCGTGTCCCTTTCCCCTGGGGCTGAGCATTTGCTGGCTTTCCAGTTTCCCTCTCACAGTGCAGTGAGGCAACTGCGCATCGAAATGTGAGCAGGACCACTTTCTCCCCTCGCCTCCCATCAACGAACCCCGCAGAAGCGGACAGTCGCCTGCCCGTGCCCCGTGGGACCACCTTCAGGCACCTCACCTGGTCCTTGAGGTCACGCTCTTCCTGGTTTTCCTCCAGCAGCCTCTGCTGCAGGAAGTTCCTGAGCAGCTGCCTCGACAGCAGGCCCTTCACGTCCTCCAAGGCCCCTGCGAGAAGCGGGCCGAGTGCTTGGGGGGTCCGGTGGAGCTCCGCCACTTCCGGGGGGAGGGGCTGCAGCCGAGCAGTGCCCGGGACGCTCTTCTTGCCCATGAAGTGCCCTGGAATGACAGGGTGTGTGCGGAGGAGGCGGCGGGAGGCGCAGGGCCCGCCGAGCTCAGAGAAGACGCAGGCCGGGTGGAGCAGCTCTTTGGGGAGTGACCCCACACGGCCCCCTTCCTCTTGGCCACGGGCACCCGTGGACTTGCTCTCCCCCGTTTGACCCAAGCTGCAGGTGGGTGGAGGCCATGGCTCAAGGGGGGGGGGCATCGCTCAGCAGCCCACCCTCTGTGCTGCATTCCCCAAATCTCCAGCATGTCCGGGCAGGGCTGGCAAGAACTTGCTGAGCAAGGTGGACCAGAGGGTCACCCCCGGATCCAGGGCGGGGAGCTGCGGCCTCATTTCAGCCGAGCAGTTCAGGCCTCTGGCAAGAGCCGCCGGATCCTTCCTGGGCAGCCTGTGAGGCAAGAGGTGGGGAGGGCAGGGAAAGGAAAGGAAAGGAAAGGAAAGGAAAGGAAAGGAAAGGAAAGGAAAGGGGGGCTGCTCGGCCAGCCCTGTTGGGGCGCAGTTCTCGGCAGCCGCTCAGTGACGCCAGCCCGGTGCCAAGCTCTTCTTGGGCTCACCCGAGATCCTGTCGACCAGAGAAGGTACCTTGTCTCTCTTGCACGACTCCTACACATCTCTGCAGGCCAACACCTTCCAAGCAATATTGCTTGCCAAGAGGACAACCCCACCCTGGAGCCACTTCAAGGGTCCCCACACAAACCTGATGGTTCTGTGAATCAGCCCATCTCCATCTCTGGCCTTCCCGGAGAGCCCACCCTGCTCTGCGCTCTCCCGTTAGCCTGAGACAGCTGGTGCGTGGGTGTATTCACACGCTTGCGAACGAGAATGGTCCGTTTCCAGGCCATTGCCGAGAGCCAAGCGCGGCACAGAGCGGTGACCCGAAGGGCACCTCTGCTTGCATTTGTGGCGCTCACGGCACGGCTTCGTCCCAGCCCCAGCTTTTCTCTATGCAACCTTGGTGCATGCGCACATGCTTCTGTGCATAGACGCAGAACGAAACCTCAGCCTTCTGCTTTCCCTGGTCCCAAGGCAGCTCCCGGGGTCTCCCGGGGGTTTGCAATGCCTCTCCCAAGACTTAGTTACAGTAAGCAAGAGCTTCAAGCCAAGACAGGCTGGAGGTTGCAGTTGCTGCGGTCGCTATGGGGCCGTTCCCTTCCTTTCTACCACTCCTACCACTGGAATGAGGTCCCAGTAGGATCTTCTAAGCCGAGCCTGGTCCTGAAAGAGGCTCCCTGCCTTTGGTCAGCAGAATATGACTGTCTTCACCTTTCCGGATCTCTTACGCCAGGGAGACATACTTGAATAAACAGAATTCTGCAGAATCCAGCCCCGTCCCACTGTAGCTGGGTTGGAAAGATGCCCTTACTGGCACATGCAAATAACAAGGCGTGGTTTCTCTTGTCCTAAACCGAATAATTTTTTTGGAAGTGGGGGAATGGATGGATGGCCCCTCCACAGGCAAGAAAGTGCAGAGGTTAAGCGAGTTCAAGAAAAACAAGAACTGTCCATTTAATAACATTTGATATTGGATCTTAATTTTGTATAGTCTTCCCAATATCTTAAAGTATATATTAAAAAGTGCATGCAATTGGAAAATAAATGCTCATTGTGAGCAAATTATCAATGTTGTGATAGACTATGGCAAAAGAATTAAATATCTCTTGCAATTTTCAATATTTGCCTTTTTTAAAAAAGTGCTAAAATTTGCACTTACACTATCCACATCAGGGAAAGATGAAATTAGCAGAATACAGATGAGAATATGTGCCAACAAATTTGAATGGGGGAATTTTGGTAGAGAATTTTTTTTGGTCGCGCCTATTCTGATTCATTTCAACCCCGGCGCTAAAGCACCAAGA